CACACACACACACACACACACACACACACACACACACACATGCATATATATACAAGCATAGAGCAAAAAAACAACTTGTCAGTTTAAGCTCAACAAAAAATTATACATGATTATCCTGTACAGCCGGGCATTCACATTCCATTCCACCGTACAGAAATAAGCAATGGCAAATGGTATGCACAGCAGACCACCAATATTAACTGTTTAATCGACTAAACAAGCAAGCAACGATGGCACAGCCAACCAACGATTACTGCTGGCGAGGCAGTCTGTGTACCCTGGCCTCTTACAGAGAAAAATTTTACGAGTTCTTAATATGAATGCAAACTGAGATGAGTAAACTATGACTGGAAAAGCATTTTCCTGGCAACAGCGTTTCTCTTACTTCCAGGATAAAAGAGCAAGGGAGTTGCAAGTTTGCACGAAAGCCATGATGCTGTTAAGAAGATAAATTAGGGGCGCTGTGACTATCATAAAGGCGCGCAGCGTCAGGAGACCTCAAAGGAAGCGATCTGTCGAGTGCTTGTACCTCATTTTCCACAAACAAAAAACCACCATTCGCAGCTGCTGCTGTCGGATTAGAGCTCAAAGCAGCAGACGCACTATTCGAACGGACCATCTCGGAACCAGTTGTTCCTGCTAATGTTTCTGGTGTCGTTTCGGTTGCTGCTGCCACAAGTGGCCCTTGAACAACTGTTGTTCGCTGCGATGAATTAGCGTGTGCGAAACGTATTGATTCCTCCACAGCTGCCTACAGTTAAAAAAAAAGGCTTCAGACAAGCTAAGAATTTTGTAAACAAAGCCCCAATACTCTAATAAAGAAGTAATCACCTGTGAGGGACGGCGGGCCTGGCACAATGGGAGACCAGGAGTGTAATCAATATGACACAGGTACAAATTTTCAGTTGCTCCAGGAAAACTCAACAATCCTGGTATTTTTGTCGAGAAAATGCGACGAAAAGAAATGTTAGAAATGTTTACTTTCTCCGAACAAACATTAGAACTTACATGGTATAGCACACTATGTCGAGATGCGCTTTCATTATCCTGATCTTCGAGCAAATTACAAGTGGATCCTTCACGCATAGCATTTCTGTGAGTGGACTGAGTCAATGAAAGTGTTGTGCCTATTAACTGTTCTTCGTCAACCATCTGTCGCATCTGAAACACCAGATATTTTTCCACAATGAAAACCGCACTGTAAAGCCAAAAAATCTCTCCACACATAAATCTCTTCACGAAGTGACATCTAGCCCGAACAACAAACTCTTTCAAGGACTGCATGAGAAGCAAACCGAAGAGTTTTTAACTCTCCGACAAGCTAGATAAGCCAGCGTCGATTTGCCATCAGAACCTATCAGCGACCTAAAAATGACTCAAATCAGCGCTTATCATTACCCTAATAAACTGGAAATGGAGAGAGAAGTGCAGTCTGTAAATGAATATTTACAGACGTCCACTGATATCACAGGGTTTCGCTTGAAAGCACCAAAGTGGAAGGAATAGTACCCTGATGTGCCCATCTGAGACAGAACTAGCGTCAGGAATATAGATAACTGTATGATCGGAGCCTCGTTTAGTTCGTCCGCTTATTTCCCGTTGATTTTGCTGCTCCGTCGTATCCACCACTACAGCCTCGATGCTATAAAAATTATGATCAGAACAACAAACATAAAGTTGTCAGGAACGAAAATCCGAAATGAAAAAATTCCCAAAATGTCAGTTGCCAGCGATTTCATTTCCCCCCTCAGAAATATTTAAAATTTTCGGAAATCTGTTGAAAGGCGAGTGAAACCAGTGGCAAAAGTTCACAAAATCATATGAGAGGCCAAAAGTAACATACGCAGGAAACTGATTGGAAAATAATGTATGCCGTATGTTGCCCCAGCAACCAAGCGTGAATGGATTGTATCCCAGGCGAAACCTTCCCGAAAACTGAAATAAAACATTTTTCAAAGCAAACTCCTGAGCTAACTGGTAAAAAAAAAAAACGCTTCCAATTCGTTAGTGAGTTATCACACACAGCTCATTTATTTCGAAAATCGCTGTGACACATTTACCAGCCGTTGTTTCATCGTGAAAAACTCTTACATCATCAGCATAGTTGAATACCTTTTTAAGATTTTCGTGAATTACACAGAGGCACTGGAGAATTAAGAATAAATTAAGAAAACCCTGGAGAGAAACCAAAGAAAAAGTAAAAAATAAAGAAGCAAAGTACACTGTTAAGAGGTATAAGCCGCAACCAGCTATGCCTATAA